CCCCAAAACCCCAAAACCCCAAAACCCCTTGGGATTTTTATAAGGTTGAAATTATAAAAATGAAGCCATGCTGGACAATGATATTTTTAACTGCATCATTTAGAAATATATCTTATATTTCATTGAAAATTCAGACTCTCTGTCAAACCAAAACCTAAAGTGTATATAGAACTTTCTGAGAGCAACCTCGAGCTAAGAAATAGATAACTTTGAACATTGGGTTTTACATCTCATCTAAGTTTCTTCAACAAATTAAAGAATCAAAAAAATTAAACAGCAGTGATTTACAATTCTATGATATACTCCAATTTTCTAAGAATCATCACCAGAGATAAGCTTCAACTCTTATAAAGTAGAAAATAGTTACAACACTATCTCATATTTTAGAGTATCTATCGAAGAGATTCAAGAAAGAATGAAAGAGTACTAGCTCAACTTTGATGTCAGAAATATTATGAGTGACAGTCACTCAGAGTATCTAAAGAATTTGGAACTTGCTGAAGCGTACAGGAGCCCCAACCACTCTATAGAGGATGATATTGAGCATAAGGAGCTGAGTGAAGCTAATATCGAGCATATTACTAGTGAGTTAGCTCAAGCAGAAAGCCAAATCAAAAGAATTACCAGTGTAAATGATACTTTCAAGCACACATTTGAAGGCGAGGAGCATAAATTTGAAGACTCTGATGATGGCTTTAATGCTGATATTAGTGTTGATACTTCTGAAGGAAGTCTTTCTAGAGATGGTACTGAAGAACTCAAAAACTCCTATGCAGAATATGACTATATGAACAACCACTTGGTTGAAGTTTCACCAGACTCCCCAATCGAACAAAAGGATAGGATAAACTATACTCAGCTTAACAGCCAAATAGCTTTCCTCAATATTGGGGAAGGATCTCAGGTAAGGCAATTTTTATCATTCCCGATCTAAGTTGTATTATAGCCTGAAATTTCTCTTCAAGATGATGACTATACCAGTGACCAAATAGAATCATTAATAAAAAGATTTTCTGAAAGATTAAGAAAGTACAGAGAGTAAGTCTTCTAAAAAAATATCTATTATTACTCAAGGTTGGGGTTTTGGGGTTTTGGGGTTTTGGGGTTTTGGGG